CCCCCCCCCCCCCCACTCTCTAATACGCTCCGCGGGCCCTGTGCCAAGGACCAATGCAGGAAGTTTTATAAGCTTTTATGGTCAACAATCTGGATACAGTTGGCGTCTTGACGATATTTCGGAAATCAAAAGATCTCGCTATTTCGTTGCAATTCCATGCCACATCTCATCAATAAGTAAATTCTTTTGGTTCGAGTATCTAGATATACTTTACTAACAGTTAAATAAATGAATAACCACATTGTTCGGTCTAGATATATATATATATATATTCTTAGCCTGTACTGCTTTATATTGCCACGCCGTCCACGCGTGCTTTCTCAGTGACAAGTTTATAAGTCGAAATCTGATCCAACTTGCTTGAATTGTAACTCGACACTAGATTATAGAGTAGAAAGTCACATAACGATAAATATTAATTTTTAATTGCAGTTCTTTTCACGATTTCTTTGAAGATTCAATGGATATTGTTTATATTTAATATAGAGCGATCTAATTAATTGTGACAATATATACTCACTCCCCCGACCCTAGTAAACAATACGCCATTTTACGCAAAATCCGCGGGTCACGTGACCAGCCCATACCAGGGTATTTCGCTCCCCAAGAGCAAATACCCTGGGTACGAGGTTGGTGGATGCTATGGTCGACCTAGCAATGCATTGATATTGCTGATTTATAAAGGTTATTACTCTATTATAAATACATTTTACATGTACTGAATCCAGTACAAATGGAAGGCACTTTAGTACAAGATATGTATGTATGTATGTATGTATGTATGTATGTATGTACTGTATGTATGTATATATAATATATATGTATGTATGTATATATAATAATATTTGTGATATATAATGGTTGTTTTAATATCAATAATGTTGCTCTAAAAAATAAAATTTGCAGGATAGTACAAGTACAATATATATGCAGCATTAGCAGTTGAGGTAGTGAGGCGGTGGTGGCGAAGGTGGCGGTGGTAGCAAGCCAATAATATTTCTGATATATAATGGTTGTTTTAATATTGATAATATTGCTTTTAAAAAATAAAATTTGCAGGATAGTACAAGTACAATATATATGCAGCATTAGCAGTTGAGGTAGTGAGGCGGTGGTGGCGAAAGTGGCGGTGGTGGCGAAGGTGGCGGTGGTAGCAAGGCAATAATATTTCTGATATATAATGGTTGTTTTAATATTGATAATATTGCTTTTAAAAAATAAAATTTGCAGGATAGTACAAGTACAATATATATGCAGCAGTAGCAGTTGAGGTAGTGAGGCGGTGGTGGCGGTGGTAGCAAGCCAATAATATTTGTGATATATAATGGTTGTTTTAACATTAATAATATTACTCTAAAAAAATAAAATTTGCAGGTAGTACAAGTACAATATATATGCAGCAGTAGCTGTTGAGGTAGTGAGGCGATGGTGGCGAAGGTGGCGGTGGTAGCAAGCCAATAATATTTGTGATATATAATGGTTGTTTTAATATTAATAATATTACTCTAAAAAAATAAAATTTGCAGGATAGTACAATATATATGCAGCAGTAGCAGTTGAGGTAGTGAGGCGGTGGTGGCGAAGGTGGCGATGGTAGCAAGCCAATAATATTTGTGATATATAATGGTTGTTTTAGTATTAATAATATTACTCTAAAAAATAAATTTTGCATTAAATAAATTTTGCTTTAAGCAACTCGCGTGTGCAGTAATTTTGACAGTTGTGCTATTTTAAATTCCCAGGCGCCTAAAATCTTTTGTCTTTAAGGTAATTCCGCAGTTTTGCATTGCGCACTTTTACTGCGCACATCTTATAACTTATAATTTCATCCATTATACGTACCGTTTAAAAAAATATCATTTTATGACAATTTTATGGTACTTCAAAACATCTTTGGTTACATTCGTGCAAAGAATTACGTTAAAATCAATGTTTTCAAAAAAGGCATACAAAAGTGTAGCTGGGGTTCCCTGTGTCTGTAGTATATTTATTTACTTGTATTTCACGTTTTAATGCCACAATTCCCTAAAAAGATCGGTGACCCCCGTTTTTTAACTGATAATTTATTTCTTTAATGTATTTTACATTTCATATCCGAAATTAAAAGAAAAATCATTTCTGGATCTTGAAAAAAAATCCTTTATCAATGCATGTTCTCAACGGGAAAGACATGTAAAGAAATGTGGAAAAGACATTTGTGGATCAGAAACACAATATTTTTTCAAAAATAATTACAAGATAGGTTTACTAAAGCAAAATCCGCGCCAAAAACGTCAATAAATATCGGGCTGTTGTGATTTTGCTGTTACTCGTAATAAGCGTCAAGATGGTGCCATATTGGGGTAAAGGTGATATATTGTGATTCTCATATCTTCTTAATTTTAACGAGTTTGGTGACCCCAACTTTTTTGTGTGATTTTACTTTAAGTATATTATAAACTCCATGCCTGGGAAGTTTCAGCACATTCTCATTTCACTAACAATTGCTGCGGAATTACCTTAAAACAATGTCGATTTCTCGGGAAATTCCGAGGTTGCGTTTTTTTTATACACCCTGTACTGTATGGCTACGATAAATATTTCAATACAGACAATGGATTGCAATAATTTGCAAAACAGTTTTGTCATAGGTGGTTATGTTCTCAGAAGTTTATGTTTTTGTTTGGTTGGTTACGCGTGGGGGGACGAAACATTTCATCTCCTTTGAGGGGGGGGGGTATAAAATTTTTTACGATGCTTGGGGGGGGAGTGCCAAATCTTATGGTTGAATTTTGGAATACCTTCCATCCCCCCCACCCCCCCCCCCAGCACACATACTTTATGACCGGGTCCTAGAAAGCACGTTTTCCCCATGACATATTTTTTATAGTATTACATTCTTTTGTAAATAAATTATTTTGCTGGTGGTGCTAGTGTAGCGTTTTTTATAATTTACTTTGCGACATGAACATGGGTAAGTGGGCTGAGATATCACAAAATATCCCATTTGTGCTGTCTTCTATATTTTCAATATCATTAGTAAAAATGTTATCAATTAATGTGGCAGTGTGTTGTGTGATTCTTGTTGGTCTTAATATAAGTGGGCAAAATGAAGACGTAAACATTTGTTCTAGGAATCTGCTAGTATAAATCACAAGATTCTGATTTCAAGAGATATTAAGCAAGTATAATTAATAAAATCCCCCATGAGCTGGCCTATCTTATTTTCTTTGTCTATTTTGCCTAGTATCTGATTCATTATATTTTCCGAAACGAATCAATTTTATTATTTGGCGGCGGTCTGTATATTACCGCTATTAATAGTAATACGTTTCACCAACAGCTGTAATGAGCTTTATTAATATGGATTCAATTGTAGTTTACCGCTACGATTCATGATGATAAATACAGTAAGTAAGTAAGTTTGCAAAAAGTCCTCATTATTTTAATATTATCATTTAGCCACGTCTCAGCTCAGTTAAACCATTATGTCTAATGGTATGTTTAATTAATGATTTGGTTAACTCCTTCAAAGAGTCAAATTTATTAACTATTATGCTTCTTGTATTTAAGTGTAACATCGAAAAGCTTTCGTTGAGATTCGCCTTGTTGGTAAATTTATTGAGATCATTTGGTAAACTTAATATTCACAGTTGTTTATTATTGTTTTTTTCCATATTTGCATTGTTTTCAGATTAATTAAAATGAGTGTCGAAAGGGTTAAATTTCAAATGCTTTAGCCTATCCATATCGTTTTCACTGATATTTTTCCGTTTAAAACGGTAAATTCATACTCTAAATCGTCAAGTGTGTGGTAGTATCAGATAAGCAATTTTGACACATGTCAATAGTGTTATTTGTATTGGAGTCAAATGACTTTGCGCAAGCAGACACAGCGTGAAACAATTTTTCACATGTGAGACATTCAATATATTTTTGTGTTTCTTGAATTATTTTGAAGCAGGAATAGCATTTTTTTCTTGTGCTTATTTTTACGAGTAGCCATTTAGAAAGTAGTTTTGTCCAATGTTAAGGTGGCTCAATACACTTTTTAGCCAAATGAGCAAAAGTTGAATATTTTCTGTTTAAATGCTTCTACAGGGTTAAGTTTTACTTATAATTGTAACACATAGTAAGACGTGTCGCAAACAAGAAGAATTCTGATAAAAGTCGCGTTTCCATGACAACTATAACGAATAATGGTAGCACTAAATAGCCGAAAATATCGCAGTTTTTCGAGTTTTTTTCGAAAATGAGTTCGGTGACCCCAATTTTTTTTAAAATAAATCAGTTACGTTAGTGTCGAGAAACATTTCTGGGAAGTTTAAAAAAAATCTGTCGACTCAATTCTTTAGAATTAAATTTCGACTTTTTTGACAGTTTCTGTCGACAATTTTTTTTTATTTTTTCATCATGAAACCTTGAAGTATGTATCTACTCATGTACAAATTTTCAGGGTACCTTACCGAACTCGTTTTGGAAATAATCACGGTTTTATTCCGCGCGGCCAATTCGCGGCCAAAGTTTTTCACACTCTGCAAGATCAATGAATTGACATGCGCGTACACAATTTAGCGGGCGCAGATAAGAAAAAAAATTCACGCACATAGCAAGGTTGTGTTTCACTCAAGTTTTAATTAATTGAAAATATTTGAATTTCTATATTTTTTCCTAACTACTGGTGGAAATATTTGAAACGTTACATGACTGAAAGTATTTCACGACATTCGATAGAATCCTTTTGCTCTTCGTCACTCGTAGGTGATTTTTGTCCGATGGTGTACTTCGCGTGTCCTTCGGGTTGTATGGCGGCATGAACAGTATTCCAACGACTCCAGTTTCCCCAAATTTCTGCCACAAGTTGTGAAGATCGCTGTAGGAGAGTCCACTACCTGCAATTTTCAGAGCCATACCATGTGAGATGGGACTATGATCTTCGTTTGGACAGTGAAGGTTTCCAACGAAAGTTTGATAACGATCATGGCGAAAATCGATGAATTCCATATCAGATTTCATGGCACGAACTGAAGATATCTGGCTGCGATCCACTATTGTTTTTACATCAATGCTCATTTCTGGACTGAACAAGATTCTCTTTAGTGCAATCACGTCTTCTAAAGCATCGTGTGCATCGAAATCTTGATCGAATAGACATTTGTAAACACTGGCAAGATTTGCTTTACAGAATTGGCCGTTCGATTGCTTTAGTGGGGCATGTTGATTGGATATCAATGATCTTATAAGCGGCAAGCTGTCTCCAAAACAAATTTTCATGCTGTGCAGTTGTTCTTCGAAATTATTACCGGCATTGCGAAGAAGTGTAGGAACGTCGAATGTGGCAGCATTATGACCAACAAGGACAGTTACGAGGTTCTCATTTTCGACTGTATTTGTACAACAGGTAGGCCTAATTAAGTTTTGTTGATCTTGTAGGAATTTTATAAATGTTTGTAGTGCTATTTGAAGAGATACTGAATTTACTGGTTTCAAATCTTTGCACAATGTTCTTTGCCCATTTATGGTTTCTACTGTGAGATTATTGACTTTCGATGCATAATATCCAACAGAATTATTGGGCAGAATATATGAAGAGAAGGTGTCACCATTTTGACATATTGCCGATAGTTGACAGATCTCTGCCTGTTTACCAGTGCATGTTGTTTCAATGTCAAATAATACAAACTGGTATGTTTTATCAGGATCATGACTTAGGTATTCTTTTGCTGGTCTTTCAGTGAAAGGTGGAACTAGTTTCATCAAGTCTTCATATAATTGCTTATTATTTGTTATGCCCATAACAATTTTATCAACATCTGTATTGTTGCCTGTAGTTGTAACTGTAGTTTCCTTTTCCAGATTTAGCCCAATACCTGTTTCATAAGTTTTTCCTTCTTTTGCCTCTTTCCTTGCAGTTTTTGAGATCCTCTCAGATTGCAGCTGATGTCTCCTGATCTTATACTCCTTTGAAGATTTTCTTTTTTTATCACATTGTTGTTTCTTGTCCATTGTAGAATTGTGGAAGCTGCAAGTGACACCAGGATCTATGCCAAGAGAATTTAGTGTTTTATCAACGTAACTAAATCCGATATTCTTTTGTGCAACTGCGCAAGCAACACGAAAGTCATTGCTCTCACTCCCACCATAATAACGGATTTTTGGATTTTTGCTTCCTATGGTACTATTCAAGGATTCACTTCTTTGCGAGTTAGCAAATGGTGTAAGCTTTTGAGCTACTGTATCTGTGGCATATTCATCAAACAAACTGGTAAGTATGCTTTTCAATTCATTTCCCTGCAAGTCTCGATTGTACGGTAAATCTTTATGTCGGTATGTCAAGGGATCTTTTTTATAACCACACCACGATGAGCAGCAACCTTTGTGATCTCCAAATGCATGTGGAACAATATTTTTTATTGCAGATTTTAAGTTGTTTACATCACGATTTTGTGCAACACTATATGTAAAACACTTCCCAAAATAGTTTATAACTTTTTGACTCAAGGCTGATGAATTTTCAAACTTGGAACGAAGTGAAATATTGTACAACCTTGATATAAGCGAACGTTTGGCATGGACAATAACTGACCACTTCTCGACTCCATATGGTACATTCTGGTTTAAGTGACAAAGTGTAGTGGTATCATCATCACCTACATAAATTGAAAATTTTACTTTTTCTTTGGGAGCCGAATTCCACAGTTCACATGCAACTGCTGGTTCCATGGTTTTGGATGAACCAACATGATTCTTTCTGCAGTCATGTCTCCTTGGCTGCTTGCCTTTTTTCTTTGCATGATCGCACACTCTACATGATTTGCACTTTGTTGCATATGCCAAAACATTACCTGTTCCTAATCCCATTGCTACTCCCTGTCCGGTCATTGAATTGTGTCCTTTACCCCGCTTCTGCCATCCCATATCATAAGATACTGGTATGCCAACCAAGCCGTTCTCATCTGCAACTTCCCCGTTTTCCTCAGCCATATCCTTTTCCCTTTCAATGTTTGTTTTGCAGCTTTTTTGTGCCAAGTCCTCGACAGCTTTTCCAACTTCTCGTTCTCATGACTTGAATGTCCTGTTGTTCATCGTTGGTACATTCATTGTTGCAAATAGGTTATTCAGGTGGGTATTACCAATACCAGCTTGAAGTGAACCAAGTACTGCTCTAGAATTAATGTTGAAGGTTAATCGTCCACGTTGTCCACTTCTGTGTTCAGAAGATGTTTTAACCTTGTTGATTTTGCCACATAGATTGCATTTGATATACAAGATGCTTGCAACACCAACCATATCTTCCTTTATGATGTTGTTCAATGACAATGGCCTGAAATAAGATAAGTATATTAAATTGTAATGTAACATAAATGTAAC